TTACCGCTCTTGTGTGTCTCTGTTAACGGCAGAGTGAATAACACTGAGTACGTTCTTTTATGTGTAAAACTCCATTTAAAAATATAGCCAGTTCCTGTTATGTTCAGATCTTTTATCGACAATTTGTGTGTCAAATAATAACTAATTTGTTTGGGCATCAGCTTGTCTAATAGACTGTATCAGATATATTACAGAATTAGACTTCTTTAAATACGCTATGACATCTTACTAATTGTCCACCTGCAATGGGGGGGGGGGGTATGAAAAAGGAAATGAACAAATAAGAAATAAAAACAAGCATGGCATTCTCGGTGCTTCAAATGTTAATTTATTTCATTTCTTATTCAATTTCACTAGGTCAATTCTTGTTAATAGACAATGAGTTTATACAAATGTTGAGTCGCTACCTTCGTCTGACAGCGAAACATATGAAAGGTGTATTTCGGTCAACCATAAAACTGTTCTCGTAAAAGAATTATTGTATACTTCAGGAATTTGTGGCTACAGTTGATTACTGTCTCGGTACTATCGGTTTTGTGTGTGAATTGGAAGGGGAGGGGGGGGTTCTTTAACAGCATGTCATGGTGGTTTTAAAATAAGTCATTCTTATGTAAGCGTTATTCTTTTTGTTAATGACTATGTTGAGATTGTGACATTCATTATTGCGTCGTGTATTTACGATAAGTATTCAGAATGTTGTCTTCTCATCGAGGATGGAGTTAGCCAATTATCGGACCCTGGTCAAAGGAGCTGTAGTTTCCGTTGGTGGAGTTACCGGCGATGATGACTGACGAGTTTCCACCTGTGAAGTTTCCACCTGAAGGGTTGATGACAAAGACAGGAAAGTTTCCACTTGTTGAGTTTCCACCTGTAAAGTTTCCATTTGAAGAGTTGCCAGCAAAGACAGAATAGTTTCCACTTGTGACGTTTCCACCTGTGAAGTTTCCACCTGTGAAGTTTCCAGCAAAGACAGAAGAGTTTCCACTTGAGGAGTTTCCACCTGTGAAGTTTCCAGCAAAGACAGAAAAGTTTCCACTTGAGGAGTTTCCACCTGTGAAGTTTCCAGCAAAGACAGAAAAGTTTCCACTTGAGGAGTTTCCACCTGTGAAGTTTCCAGCAAAGACAGAAGAGTTTCCGCTTGAGGAGTTTCCACCTGTGAAGTTTCCAGCAAAGACAGAAGAGTTTCCACTTGAGGAGTTTCCACCTGTGAAGTTTCCACTTGAAGAGTTGAAAGCGAAAGCTCTAGAAAAGTTTCCACTCGTTAAATTCCCAGAGGAGAGAAAAGCGCCAAATGTCGAATTTCCTGAGGTTCCGTTGATTGCTGTGAATATAAATGAAGTAATAATATTATAAGTTAAAAACTATTGTAAGCTTCGGAACTGAAGCAAATCTATCTATCTATCTATCTATCTATCTATCTATCTATCTATCTATCTATCTATCTAGCTATCACCGAAGTGCCTTAATGAAGGACAGGACAAAACTGCCTTCCTGAGATTACGCCACAATAGGATACCGGTGAAAAACACTAGGTGGAGAATGCCAATGTTCAATTTTAGTAAGATTTTTACGTCACTTGCAACACAATAAGGTCTTAATAGTGTCGAAGATTAGAGGTGTTACATAAGAGTAAGAAACACACAAAGGAGGGGACGGTAGACGTTTGATAGGAAAGATGGTGCAGACCACACCATAGCACCCGCCACTCCCAAAATGACAATATGCCATGTCGGCCGTGTTCAGATTTTTTTCGAAAGTGTCTCTAATCTCTGCGACAGCAGAACAGAACACATTGTGCACAAAGTTAGATCTAATAGGTCCCAGCCATGCTGCATTAGATTTCTTTTACGATAACAATCGCCTGCTGGAAAATTATTTACGGGAAATGAAATCACTTAAATAATTCCGTGGGCTACAAGAGATGAACGCCAGGGAATCTAAAAGAGGCATCAAAAAGAAACTTGGAAATGTATTCTACCAATCGTTGTGTTAAAGCCTTGCACTACCCACTCATGCAACATGCACATTTAAACCTAAATAAATTCTGCTTCATATAACGAATTATTTTTTCATATACGTTTAGAGTTGCCTGAGATATGGTCTCTCAAAACTGACCTTTAAAAAATGATGCTTTAAAAATTTTGGAAATTAAAGAAACGTAAAAGTGTGTTCCCCCCTGTATGAGGTGCATGGAATGGGCATGTAGGTATTGCATATCAAATGAATTGCCACTATTTGTATCTATCTATCTATCTATCTATCTATCTATCTATCTATCTATCTATCTATCTATCTATGTGTGTGTGTGTGTGTGTGTGTGTGTGTGTGTGTGTGTGTGTGTGTTTGTGTGTGCGTGTGTGTGTGTTTGTCTGTGTGTGTCTGTGTGTATCGTTATTATTATTATTATCAAGAACATTTAGCCTTATTATTATCACTATTATTATTTTTATTATTATTATCATCTCATTATAATGGAACTAAGCCCGATTGTGAAGTCAGTATACTTTTTTTTTACACAAGTGCCCATAAAATCTACAAAAATATGATTCAGTTAAGACTTGTCACAAAGTGTTACGTGGGTATATTTTTAAAGATCGGAAATTACCTTTTGATTTTTCAGGTTTGATAGATTTTCCAGTAAATCAAAGCTCTCAGATGTTTTCACTCTTCCATTAGCCATTTCGTATCTTACTGGGGACTACTTCCGTTTCGGTTTGTGCTGTGTGAGACAGCTGCTTCTACTATTTTCTGATCTAGAATCTCGATATCCAACTTTATTTGGATGTGTGTTTCGCAGTGTTGATGGATACTTCAGGCCAAACTTCATTGTATTGACTTTTTCTAGACGCATTTGGTGTGGTCAAGTCCCCAATACGCTGAGTTCGTTTTAGACCCACAAAATGATTACTTCGTTGTATTGGCGTTTTAAAAGTTTGGCGCGTATTATGGTGCGTAGTTGTTGTTTTTTTATACACAGCAAGACTCTAGATCTAGATATCTCTCTATATCTCTAGATATATTTGGAGCACAGAATTCATGACTGATTTGGAGTAGTTAGCAAGAATATGACAATCTAGATCGAGATCTGTTTAGAGTAAAAATTTCCCATGGAATATTAGTTAATAATGTTGTAAGATGCCCCCTAAAAGTAGAGTTTGCTTCACCCCACGAAACAGAGATGAAAGCGAGAGGAAACGGAGAAAGGCGACTATCAATCATAATTTACGTTCTAATAGCCCGAATCTGGAGGAAGACCTTGAGCGTGCTAGGCCAAGAAAGAATGGAGCAACTTTAGTCTTAGCGTGCAACACACAGTCCTTTAGAGAAACTGAAGTTGATCGGAGATTACGGACACATGACTGTGATGAATTTAGTGTCGTCTGTGAAGATTGTAATGCCATAAGGTGGAGAAAGAGAGAAACACATTCTGCGGTAAAAATAACAAAGTTGGTTTACCTGTACCCCTCCCCCCTCAACACTTCAGGAACTAATAAAGTATTACCATGTAACACAGAGCGGCAGCTCTTTCTTACCACAATGTATGTCATACACTATGACTAATGCTCCCGCCCTCGTTTCAATCGGGTACGGTGAAGAAGTTGAACAGGGCTTCAACCCAACCTTCAAAATCAATGGCAAGCTTTACCAGCGATTAGGAAATCTTCTTCCCTCTGCTGGACGGTTAGACCTGCTTTTGCAATGACAGCCAACAAAGCTCAGGGACAGACTTTGAAAAAGATAGGGGTTTCTTTACATGGCGATTTTTTTTAACGGACAATTGTACGTCTCAATGAGTCGTGTTGGATCCAGCGACTCTATTTCATTAGGATACATGCAAACAGACCTGCTGCCCAGGTGACGCATATACCAGCAATGTTGTCTACACACAGGTCCTACAGCAATGAATCAGGTACAAACATTTTATCTTGGAATTTCCTATCTCTATAGCTTCGTTCGTAGAACAGGTCTGTATCTTGTTATTATTATTATTATTATTATTATTATTATTATTATTATTATTATTGTTATTATTATTATCATCATCATCATCATCATCATCATCATCATTAGTAGTAGTAGTAGTAGTAGTAGTAGTAGTAGTAGTAGTAGTAGTAGTAGTATCATTATTTCATTAGGATTTAAAAATATATGGGGTATTGGAGGTGGAGAAGGGAGTTCGGACTTTATTTCAGCTTCGTTAACGAAGACTTTGTTAGTGTAGATTTTCTGTGGACAGCCCGTGTGAATCACCTTGTCTCTTCAAGACAACAATTATCCGTTTACAGGAGAAAAACTGTTTCAATAGTCTTCAATTTCTTCCGCTACGCTTCTGATCATCTAAGGTTACAAACGCTGCAAGCAGCAATTAGCTTTAATTGATAATTATTATTATCCTCTGCAGTTTCTTTTCTCCTACAAAAGACAGTTAGAATGACGCAAAATATAAAATGACAGTGTAAACAGAAAATATTATAGATAAGGTAACATACATACCTGTGGGGAAAGCTTCAGCGAAGCCTACAGCGATGCAGAGCATCACGGCGAAAATTGACATGGTCTTGAGTAGAGATGCCATGGTGGAAGATAGCTTGTTAGAGAACTACAGGAAGTTTCTACGTCTGCTGTACCGTGGTGGTGACGTCACAGCTTGTGGTGCTCCTTGACTGTGAGTTGCAAGTGAAAAACTTTCAGTATTAACTGCTTTATATACTGGTCTGCTGATCTTACCTCAAAGCGAAGCAAAAAAAATGCTGACTGTTTAGCGGTCCCCGCCCTAGGGTTGGTCCACACAACACGACTGACGTAAACAAAGCTGTAGGGCGAGCAGGACACACCACTGCTTCAGTCCGCCCTGTTATCAACTGAACGTTGTCAAAGGTAAAAATATTTACGGTATTTACAATGTACTTTCTATAGTGGGCGCTTTGATGAGAAAAGAAAAGAAAAATTTGATTGGAAAATATACAATATTTACAATAATTTACCTTTTTAAAGTTGGTTCTTTGATAATAAAACGGGAAAAAAAGCAAACGAAAAAAACCGTTTATGTTGATTGTGTTACGACCTATCTGACTCAGTGCAGGTATTTTATATTTGTGAACACTTGGTCATTTGACCAGCATTTCTTTTTTTGGTTAGTTTTTAACGGCGTTCTCAGCTGCGTAAGGTCATATGAGCGCACGGGACACATTAAGCATTTTCAGTTTGGTAGGAATTAATTTTGAATTTTACCCGGGTCGCGGCCGGAGCTCCTCTTATCGACTTTAGGATCACCAGGCAATCTTTAACGTGTGCAGCTCGTACACAGGACCTCCGAGATTTTGTTGCCCTTATCAGAGAATGTGTTAGATCTTACCTACCCTAAGACAAGGGGTGTGGTTGAAAGACAGCAGTATGAAGGAGCCAAGAAGT